CCCCCCCCGACTCGCCGCCGCGTCCCGGCACCCCTTCTCTAGCCAAGGGTCAATCGCCAAGGTCGAGCAACCAACATATGAGGTTTCCGGCCACCTCCTCACCGCTGTGTGTATGCATTTTTGGTGACTCACCCCCCTCCCTCCCTCCCTCCCTCCTTGACAACACCTAACCAATAATAACAGGAGAAGGCGTCTACGCTTCCAAGGCTTAAATATCTGACACCAGCGACAATAGCGGAAGACCTCCTGTGCCCACTAGCACATCTCAAGGAAGCGGTCGAGGACATCCGAGACACGCGCGGTACGGCAAGCACCTGAGCGATTGGCTCTTTCTCTGATAATCTCGTCTCGACGCCGTCCCTTCCTTTTCTTTCGGTACTTGGTGTGGAGTATTACGTGGTTAGTAAGGATAGGGGACGTGGACAGCACCGTCCTCGCCTTCGTTTGGTTTATGTTTCTGGTGTCGAGGTAGATGGTTGGTAGACCTGGGTGTGAAACCTTTTGGTTTTTTGGGGAGGCGTGATGACTTTTGTTGTTGGCACGGCGTCCGGCGTTAGGCAAAGCATATTCTGCTGATAGTTGTTCAAGAGAAATGGTTTCATGACGGATGTCTGATGATGACCGACCGCGCTTCCGTCCATCAGGTGGGGATGTTCGGCTGTGCGCTGAAACAATCATAGATATCCTTTCGTGATCGTGTTCCTGGCAATACAGTGCGCTCGGATCTTGCGAAACAGGTCCGTGTTGTGTTCAGCGTTGTTGTGCTTTGTCCCGTCCGCCTGCAGAAACGCGTGCGGTTTCAGCGATTCAGCACGCAAACGGGAAGGAATAAAATAGATAGATGACCAGTGGAGCAGACCGATTCCTCACGCACATGCGGAGACCGAGCACTGAAGACATTCCCGGTTTGCACCCTCACGTTCTTGTCGCTCAAAAAGCCTTGAGGCAGTAGTCTAGGGCAATATCGACAGGGAGTCGAACGAACATGGAAGATAGACGTGTGTCTCGTGGTTGCAGAGAGGAAAAGGGTGGCGTCTAATCGGCCGGGTGTTGCAACGGGTATGGAGGGCCAAGGACGCCGTCGATGGTTTTTCCGGTGCGATCGAGACACAGAGAAGTCGAGCAAATCTGAGCGTAGCATTGAGGGCAAGAGATGAGGAACTTGGCGACGAAATCTCCTGCCATTCCGCTCTCCCTTATGATTACCTTGCTTGACCCTGCTACTTTCCGATTTGGGCGGAGTCGTTGCTCCTGCTGCTTTTTGTCTGTTTTTTTCTGATGGTCGGAAGGCAATGTCTGGTATCTATGCAGAAGAAGGCCAATTGGGCGGAGTCGTTGTTCCTGATGCTTTGTCTGGGTTTTGTCCGGTAGTCGACAGACACTGGTTGGTGCCTACGTGTGTGTGTAGCAAGTGGCCGAAAGTTTCTCGATAGATCATATATTTGTCAGCTGTCTGTCGTGAGTAGGTGGGCGATGGGATAGAGAATCGGCCGTGCATCGTCTCGATGTCAGACAAAAGTCAAAGAACGGTAGGTTGTAGACTAGTAACACGTCATGTGCTGATTCCGACCCTTGGGCGACTCGATGGACATGGTGGTGTCTTTCTCGCTCCGAAAGAGCGATTGGTTTCATTGCGCTACGAGGATAGATAGATCCGTTAAGCCTTGCCGTATCCTGCATGCCATATTGTTGTTGTTGTTGTTGTTGTTGTTGTTGTTGTTGTTGTTGTTATTTCTCACATTAGCTCTATAGTCCACAAAAAATGGGGAGCCCGTGGTCTCAAAAGCCGGCAAATACGACGCCGCGGGGAAACAAAACAAAAATAGGGTACAAACCACGCGGAAAAAGAAAACAAAATGATAGAAATATATTAACAGGTACCGCACCGACCGTTCGAGAAAAGAGCCCTCGGAAACCGATCAAAATAAAACAAAAACTAAAATAAAGGAGGACGCTTCCCACACCCGCCCAAAGAAAAAATCAAAGGGTAACGTATCAGCACCAGGCACTACGCACCAGGGCATGGGAGTAACGGAGCAAACAGGACAAAGAGGCGGCAGATGGGCAGACAGCCAGACGTACAAAAACAAAGGCAACAGCAAAGCGAGATCAAGGTACCCAACACAGCAGAGTAGGCAGGGAGGTCATGAAAAAAATGAAACACAGCACAGAGGCCGAAGGCAATACAAAAGACATACAACAACATATTCGCCTGATTGAGAGCGAAGTATCTGATTGAGAGCGAGAGCCAAAAAAATTGAAATTTCGGGTCCAGACGCCTCTTGCCATTTCTTGGCAAGTAGGGGACGGGCTATTCCAAGAAGCGGTGCAAATTGAAGGTCTCATCAGCAGCTTCGCGAGCATATGCGTGTCATCGTCATCGGATGCTGCAGCGAGGAGCTAGACAAGTTGCTAGATTTGCCCAGATTGGCTATTTCTGCTCAA